AAATGGTAAATTCAAATTTTGCGATCCTCACAACCATTTTTTCTTTTTTAGAATATGCGATTATGTGACGAATCATCAAATGGATAATTTAATTGCATAGTAATTACTATCAAACTTTATTTTTGGTCAGATCGTAAACTGTGAGTATTATTCGTTAGCTGTTCTGACGCATATTTGTTGCATAATTATTATTTAACACAAAAAATAATAATTATTGAAGCGTTTATTCACTTTAAGATTCCAGCGGTTACTTTACTATTATTGTTACCCTGTTACAAACATCCCCAAAGAATAAAATAAAGAAGATAGAAGGGAGAAAAATTGGCCTTCAATCTTGCGACAATTACTTTGCATTAAAAAAAACTGAAAACTACAAAAAGTTAGAGCTTATTCGGTTAGCTTATAAGTTTTTATATTTAAATAAACTTCATTTGGAAAGACAAATTTTCTAAGAAGTTCAAGCTTATCACATAAGCTTCTTTGAGTACCTTTACAAATAAGCTCGTAGAAATTTTTATTTCAGCTAGATTATCAACTAATTTTACCAAATACTTTTGTAACATAAACTGGCTTTGCAGCTATAAGTCATAAGTTATAAGCTTCAAAATTACTTATAAGCTATTAACTAGCTTATTAGCTAATTTTCCTAATTCAAATTCTATGATTATACTACGTAAGAGATATGTCGGAAATGTGATATTCTGAAAAATTATCTTACTAAAAATATGTGATTATTATGCCAAACTTCAAATGCATAATTAATCGCATATTAATTAACATCTAATTTTAATTTGGTCAATTTGTACTCTGCGATTATTACTCGACAGTTGTTCTCATCTTCATTCATGTAGCATTTTACAAGACTGATACGTAAAGGTTTTGGATAAAGGTTGTGTGTCCCTAGTTCATTTATACATACTAGACCAGACATGCACTGGTTTAGTTCCTGACAATTAGAGTTTGGGGTATAGATATTCTACGTCGGGATATCATATCCATGCCACACTTGAACAAAATTCAACAAGCTGAAAGTCCAAAAAAATAATAATAAATATTAAACAAACATTCTAAAGAGTTAAAGTTAAAAATTTGCGTGTGTACATTGGCACAAAGGATTTATACTTCAAAAAGTTTACATGGTCCTATATTCCTAAAAATCTCTTTATAAAATGGAAATAAGTCTATAAGTAAAAAGATACATTCTCTTCTTTCTTCAATCGTCAAATATTTGATAAAATNNNGGGGGGGGGGGTAAAATCAGGCCAAGAACTAGAGATTGTGTCCAAGGAATCGTCACAATGGTCATGAAGGAAGAAAAAGTAATCATTTTCGATGACGCTTTTGACATGCTCCTTGTTTGTAGTAGCTAATTGTCTTTTCTCCGCCCATTTAGTGACAGAGAAAAGGAGAACTAGAGCAGAAGAAGGAGAAGAATGTTTTGCTGCAAGATGTGAAGGTGGGTTTACTCCCCTTCTGAGACGACTTCAACATATAACTTTGTTCCGAAGAGCTTACTCCATAGGTTGACTGCCCTCCTAAGATGACTTCCGTGTATAACTCTTTATGCCAGTAAGTATCTACAATCGTCCCATTTGTAAGAGATGACTGGAACAATTTTATTTTATTTTTTATTTTTTGAAAGGGCACATTGTAAAGTGTAAACCCTGAAAATAAATGAAGGAAGAATGACAAAAGAAATTGTAAGCCCTATGATATTGAAACTCTTATTTATATGTAAGTATGAGAACTCTAGAAAATTGTAACTCCTATTTATCTTTGAAACAACTGTCGACAAAACCTTTATCAGTGCGTATACTCAAGAAGACATTCTCCTTCGCACAAGTGCCTTTGTTATTAATGTGCTTAGAAGAGTTGAAGAGACACAACAAATATTCATATAATAAAGTGAGATCAGATGCATAGTGTTTGCTTAATAGAATTAAATAATAAAAATTAAACTATATCAGCTAACAATATGCCACTCATAACGGAATGAACAATATGCTATATATCGCTGGATAAAAAATATCCATAAATATAAAAATATAATTTCGTAGAACTGCAAACAAAGTGCGGCAATGGCATAGCCTTTCACACAATTGAAAGTGATAAGAAACGTCAAGAAGATATCTATCCTCCTTGGTACACGGACCTATATTAATGTGCTGAGGAAAAGCTTTTTCAGCAAAACTGCTGTGATTACTCTTGGTATGTAAAAGCCTTCGACCAACTGGATTCGATCTTATCTACCTCTTCGTCGGTTGATGACCTTAATACTTGAACGAACTCAATGTTATAAGGGTTTTTAGCGTAGTACCTCCAATTCTCAGTCCACTAACGATCGCTATTGATGTTTAGTCATATGTTTACGATCTATTTACGTACTGCCCTCTCGGACTTGCCTAAGTCAGAATATGTACAATGAAGACGATGAACACTAACAATGTTTGTGAGCTTTGTGAGTATAGAGAATGTAATGTTCTAGTGGCAAACCTCACTCCCTTATAAAGGGACATGTTACCTTATTCCCTAAGACTGCCCGAGTGAGCTGCCCAGATTCCCCTAACTTTTCATCCGTACTGTTAGTGTGTATACTGAAAGCTTGATTTAATATGTTATTTACACTATTTATGTTGAATGAGATTTCATGTTTGATTAAAGTAAGTTCTATGTTCTATTGCTTTTCATTTAGATAAATGGTTCATCACAGATGGACATGAGATCATTTATCGGTTACATGTGAAACATGAACAATTAATTCACAATCTAGATGAAAATTGAACAAGCTATCAAAATGATTGTATTATGAACGGTATAGTTTGTCTTGAATAGGGATGACAATGGGGCGGGTTGGGTCGGGTAGTTCAGTACCATATCTGCCTCGCAACCCCAGGCTTACTCCACGACTTGACCCGTGACCCACCACGGGCACAAGAAGCCCGCCCATTGACCTGACCCATAACGGGGCGGGCCACCTGCCCTGGCCTGCATTTTTTTGCCTACAATGGCTTGACCTTTACTGGGGCGGACCGGCCCGACCCGACACGCCTCATTTCTTCCATCCATAAACCAAGTGTATCACAAAAACAACACATAACAAGCTAAACATCAAAACATGCCAATTGAAATCTAACAAAAGCATACATTGCCCCATATTCAAACAAGCCTACATTAAATACAAGTACAAAGAAGTTTTTCCTCAACTGATTGAAACTTGAATAAAACAAAAATGACTTCGATGAACAAAAAAATACCACCCTTGCTAGAATTAACCTTATGCGAAAAC